GGTAAATTAGCTCTCTGAAAAAATGGGGAACTGTTGGAGCTTTGCTCATTTCAGTAGCCTATAATCGTCTGATACCATTGAAGAACACATTACAACCTTCAGCTGGCAGTATCCCATGGTCATTACCTTACCCTAGAATTGACATTTTTCTGATGATTCATATTTGGTGTTAACAAAAAGCTGCATACATACAGTGTTTTGTCTTTGATCTGCGCCACATTAATGTGTTAAATAAAACTGGATCCTGAGGCGAACTGACATACACTCCTAAGTTCCAATCTACAGCGCAAAAATGAAAAAGCAAATTATAATTTTAAACCAGAAAAGACACCGCTGAGAATTTCTTCGGCGGTCTAACAGAAGCTTTTCATATCTGTCTGTCACCTGAAAACAAATCTTTTATTCTTGTTACAGTGACAACAACAGAAACTGCATCTTTTCGAATAAGAGGGTGACACAGTGACTTTCACTGTGGATTAAAGCCTATCTAATTTAATGACACAGCTCTCTGTTATTCAGGCCCATGTGAAGGCTACCAGGTATTGTCAGTGTGCGTAGTCGTACTGGCTGGCTGCCTGGCTGCAGCGAGGAAGCTAATCCAGTGTGACGAGCCCGGGGAAACTCCTCCTCAGAGAACCCTCTTTAATGGACAGATATGGGTCAGTGCTGCCACATGGACTCACTACAGGAACTACAGCGATAGTTGTATACGATACAACTATCTTTTTTTTCTTTTAATAGAAACTGTGGAAACCCTCGCAGCAGTTGTGTTTTTTTTAATTGATTGTTCAGTGACAGCAAAAAGAGCACAGATCAGGCCTTTCTGTTGATTTAAAGAGAAACTTAACATCCTATTTTGGCTTCAACATTTCTTTGGCTGGTTATGTTGCCTGAAGAGAAGCGAAGACATCCACATTTCTATAAAAAGACATCACAAGATGGGATCTTTATTGCTGATCGCTGATTGATATTCAGCCAATAACCAGTGTGTGAAAGCTTTTCCATTTTCAGTTTTAAACCGCTGTGAATGCACATGGAGGGATGTGTTTGGTGTTTACATAATCGGTTTGAATTTTGAATAGATATGAGAAGGACATATATAAGATGGATGGATTACTAAAGACGTCACTGAATACTACAAATTAGAATCTTCGAAGCAGCAAAATGCCAGAATTAAAATGAAAAATATAACAGCGTTTACCATCAATATGCACTGAAAGCAGCAGGAAATGTAATAAATATAACATTTTCTTGGTTAAATAATTAAAGTGACTGTTGTTACTCTGCATACCTAACCTAAACCTGTACCTAAAGCTTCTTATTTTAAAGCTGGAGGTATACAGGAGAAAAGATTAGGCTTCCTACACCCCACCCCCAAACCACTCCATGAACCTAATGACCTCCCAGACTCCCCTGCACCACCCCCCCTCATCCAACCCTGCTCCCAATAACCCTCAGTGACACATTGGTAAAGATACAGTAGTTGTTGTTTTTGATTATAATTTTCTTTAATGTATTGGGTATTAAATAGTAAATGGTAGAACTGCATTGTTAAAGTAATGTTTCATGCAGTAATGGAAGAAAATGCTGTTTTCAGCCCCTCAAATATGAAGATTTACTGTTTTTCTCAGTTTTATATCATATTAAACTCAATATCTTTGGGTTTTTGACTAACAAAACATTTAAAGATATCACCTTAACTTTGAGAATCTGGATTGTTGAGATTTTTCACTATTTTCTGACATTTTATCGTCCAAACAATAAATCAGTCAATCTAGAAAACAATTGATTGATGATAAATACAAACAAAGTGAATATACACATATATAAATATAGACTATATCTGTCCAAGTGGAACATTTTCCTTTTTGCTTTTATGTGTGTCTCTTTTTTTTCTCTCTACATTTCTGTTCCTTACAGTCTGTCATTTCACACTTAAGCCACTCCTGTTGCAGAGCAGCTCTCATTAGTAGCTGAGCATTTTTTCACTGTCACATGTCGGCTGTTGAATTATGCATCGTATTCCTGCTCAGAGTGAAGGATGTATGTAAAAGAAGCGTGAAACGTGACCTGGGAATTCTCTCTTTGTGATTGTTGTGCCATCAGGCTCCTGCTCTCCGCCTGTCAGTCCACCTGTCTGTAAACCTATTTATGTGTCTCTGTCTTTTATTTGAGAGATTAGAACAGTAGTGAGCAGAGTTTTACTGCGTCATAGCTTCAGTGTCATTGAGGTCTTTGCTCATTCATTAACCTTTCCATTGTATTGTATCAGTGTGTGTGTAATAAAGGCAGTTGTAGCAATCAAGACCTCATTACTAAAATTGCAGGTCTCCTTAGATGCTGATAACAGCTAGAGTTGTGTGTGTGTGTGTGTGTGTGTGTGTGTGTGTGTGTGCCTGGGATTGAAATGCTGAAGAGAGTTGGAAAAAAATGTTAATAGTTTATTCTGATGGCCAAATATCGGAGGAATTATGTCAATACTGGTCGATTCTGTGCCTCATACAAGTGTATCATACAACAGATTGGAGTTTGTTTTCTTGCGTTAGACTTTTCCATCCAGAATTAGTGTGTAGGATTTAATGCCATCAAGCAGTGTGATTGCGGATTACAACCCCCTCACTTCACCCTTCTGTTCTGAGCATCTAGAGCCACTGTTTGGTTTGTCCCTTCTGGGCTACTGTAGAAACATTGCAGTTCATTCGGCAACCCGCGGTCTCTGGTCGCCTTCCATGTCTAAGTTAACAAAAAACATAACAGTTCCTGTTTTAATGTGATTATATTCTAATGAAAATGTACTTACGAATACAATATTAATACCAACCATATCATAGTTGCCATATGCAAATATTATTATGTAGGTGTGTAAGAAAATATTGATATACTTGATTATCACGTAGGGATGTAACGATACACTCAACTCACAATTTGATGCAGTTCATGACATGATTTTCTAACGATTTTCTAACAAAAGACAAATCACGAATGACAATAACAAACAATGCATATTTGCTTGTCTTTGTAAAAGTGTCGTGATACAGCTGCTGACGCGAGTGATGTAGGATGTTGAACAAGTCAAAGGTCAAGAGTAGATAGCGCCCTCTGCTGTTTAAAAAGACTATCACAATTCATTTTCATCTCAGTGATTTGAATCTTCCCTGTATCATGATACGTATCCTAACCCTGTCATTATATAAGAGTAAGAGTTGAACATGCTGCCATTGCACGTACAAAAAAACATTTGAACCAAAATATGTTTTGCAGAATCGTTCTTGTCCGGTTGGTTCTGAACATGAAATACATTTTCACTTTAATTATAAAATATTTCATCTGTCCATGTTTGTTCGCAGGATCTCCAGTTCTTTCTGTAAATTTCCTCCAGACAAATTCTCTGTTTTTCTCTTTTACATCCACGAGATCAACACCTGCAGCTTCCGAATGAGCAAACATTTTTGGCTCAAGTTGTTAATGTCTTTTCATCGTCTTTTAACTCTTTACTCCTAAAACCTGAAACTGAAATTCACATCATATACAGAAATATCTGCTCTGCTTCTGTCAATCACCGGCTGGTCTGATGGTGGTTAAATCTAGTAAATGTATTTTATGAAAGCATTTTTTTGATGTAAACACAGCTTTTTGTAGCTCTTTACTGGTTAAAAAAAAAATCTTGTTTCCTGTAGGGATCGTTGCATTTTTCATTTCCAACGTTTTTTTGCGCTGAACGGATGAAAAGTCTGTGAGGTGGAAGGAAGACAGCTCAGAGTTTAGAGGAAAAACGTCTCAGTGTGATGTTCCTGCTACCAGCGAGGCCTGCAGGTGCTACACACTGAGCAGCAGTTGGCATGTTGTGTTTGATTTGCCTGCCTGCCGTTTCTGTGCCTCGTGTTTCTTGTTTCCTCTGATGTTTGGGTTAAACCGGCGGAGCAGCTGTCATGGCTGCTCCCGTGGATGCTGACACTGACAAAGCGATGAATAGAGAGATTAAAAGTGGTTTAAAACTGTTTCATTCATGAGAAGGTGGCTAATCTGAGTTTAGGTGGATTTACACAGCACGGAAGATATCTGCTGTTTGGAAAGACAGTGTATTCTCGATGTAGTCTGCTTTGGGTATCTGCTTCCACTCATGTTGACTTCAGTGAAAGTGTTATCTATTTCAGATTTCCTTTTTTTGTTGTGATGATCATACTACTGTTACATTCACTGTTTTAAGGAAAGATTTAGTCTTTTTTTACTCCTCTGCGATGAAACACTTATTTTCAACACTTCCTCTGTCATCATTTACAAGTTTTGATGAAACTGATTTCACCTGGCAAATAAACTTCATTAACCGGGGCATTCAGGTGAAGAGGGAAAGAGGTGAAGCAGAATGTTCATCGTTAGGCCTGAAGGTGAGACGATATTTGTATCCTTGTGGAGTACAAACTACAAACGATTGGCAAGCTTGATTTTGTCTCCGTACTTTATACATCAACAGCTCTGCTAGAAATTATGCTTTGTCCTTGCAGTAAATCTCCAAGATTCACATTTTACACGGGTTACTGTTACTGTTCATACTTGGTTTGAAGTAAACATTGTTTATATTGTTTTGAAATCTGCCATCAGACGTCATGTGAAGACATGTCATGCAGAGGATGCAAGAATGCAATTTGTGAAAGTCTTGCTGTATCCATTTCTAAAATATACTCTTTAGTTTTCTTTGTCTGACACTTTTAACCTACATAACCCACCACATTCTTCCTCCACTATTGGACAGTACGTGTGGTGATTTAAAGATCTTTTCCCTGTTGGACGGAGAGCATTTCTCTGTGGATCAATTGCAAGCTAAATGTCTGAAATATAAAAGCTGTTAGTCTGTTTAATTGTTTAATCCACGACCTATAGACATTTGGCTTCTCTTATACCGCACTAACACAGTTTAAATGCTTTATTGGTGTGACATTAATGTATAAAGAATGAATTCAAATGTACGTACTTAACGTTCCTGTTTTGTTTCTTCTGTTCAGGATGACAGTTCACTGAGCAGCGAGGAGGAGGCAGAGATGAGCGAGCCTACATGGCTAGCAGCTGATCTGGGAGCAGCGTCTGACCTGAGCCCGCCAAGCCGAGGAGAAAGGATGCGCCACAGTCCCCAGAACGCACACAGCAAGGAGGATGACGGTAAGGACCAGAATCTGATCTGCACTTGCCGCTGTTGAATGAAAACATTGTTCTTCAGGAACCCAGAAGAAACAGCCTTGTTTGGTTTTAGAGATTAGAAAGGGCTGCGAAACAAAATCTCTTCAACCCACAATGGAGCAATATCTTCAAAATGATTTAAGAAGTTTTAAGAGCAGCATCAACACCAATGGGTGTAATTTAATTGTTTTAAACTTGTGAGACTATTACTGAGAAGATCACTTCAAGATCTTTCAACCTGAACACGATGTCTGAACTTTGTGAATCAGGGGGTCAGAGTTGAAGGGAAAATTAGCTCAATTTGTAGCTTTTTGGGAGTTTCAGGTGGTGGACAGAGAGATATACATATATATATATAAAAAAATATCTTCTTTTTCATAAAATAAAAAGCATGGAGGTATACATAGTAGGGAAGGGTTGAAGCTGAAGATGTATCATGCTTTAATTACACTGCCCAGTATACTGTGTTTATATTCTTTCGTTTACTTTCTATATGTAGAGTGATGGTATGTTGTAATAGAACTGTAGTTACATCCAGTTAACTCCTACACCTTGTGCAGTTGCAGTGTTTCCGTTCCTTCATTAACTGTGTTGGAGAGCGGTGATTGTGAAGAGCAGAGGGGTTGCAGTGTGTTACCTGTAGTGCTATTTATCCATCCACTGTAGATTGTTTTGGTGTTTGGAGATATCAGCTGTAGAGACGTCGGCCTTCTCTCCAATATAATGGAACCAGATGGCAGAGCTTGTTGTAAGCAGTTTCACGTAGGAACTATTTACACGTAGACGGAAGCGTTCATCTTCTCATGGACGAGAGGCTCGTGACATTGCAGGATACTGAGCTGTAATGCTAGCTGGCTCAGCTAACACCACTGTAGTTTGGTTGAAAGAAAATAGTAAACTCTGCAACTCACATGGATAAATAGCACATATACAGGTAAGAGGGAAAATATGTACTTTTGATTTTTGGGGTGGACTGTCCCTTTAATGTTGTATTTCCCACCAACATCATTAACTCTGAGTACACAGGCCTTAAAGCTGAATGCCACAGTTATTTTTCTAAGTGATGTACACCAATTATATTGCTATTGCTGTTGCTTTTAACACACATCGCACTTTTTAAACCAAATTAAAGGTTTCCAAAGCAGCAGTGTTGTTTGTTGACCAAATCTGTTCTGGCAAAGTGTGAGAAGAAACTGCGACAGACAGTGAACGCTTAATAGGAGCTGTGGTGCCTTTTAACTGTCTGTTCCTTTGTTTTCTCTGCGCTTTTACTCTCTCCTGTCAGTTCCCCGCTCTCGCTCTCTCTCCGTCACAGTGATTCTTCCAAGCTTCACACTTAATGTGGCATTCCTGGAACATCACTGCCGTTGGAGAGATGTCTTCCAGGACTCAAACATACAGTACAAGCAGCAGATTGTGTGTGTCTGGTTGTGTGGCAGATTATCAGATGCTGGTTTTTTTCAGCCCTTTTGCAGTGGAAACGCAGAATGCTTGATCCTTGACAAAACGGCAATAACAAGCCAGAAGGGATTAAAAAGGTTGTGATATGGAAGCTCTCTGACCGGAGGTGGTTTTGGAAGGTGATCACATTTTATAAAAAAGGTCAGGATGGTGGCCTCTTTGTTACCTCGTTCCCTCTCAGTGCTCTTTCTCTCTCCCGGCGCTCTTTCTCTCTGTCGCCTCGTACTCAACTGTCACTCTTCTTCTTCTCTCTGCCACCCCGTACCCTCTCTCCTCCCACCCGTCTACCTGCCTGCCACTCTCCCTGTCTGTCTGCCTCCCCCCCACACACACTCACAGTGTTTTTCTCTTTTACTTTCTCCTGCCTGTCACACTACTCTTTGCGCTCTCCCCCTCTCTTTCTCTCTCTGCACTGAAAGGCTTCCTGCGGTGAGGAACGCTCACTTTGAAGGCAGCCGTATTGTTTTATAATGCTAGAAGGATACAGCAATTACCTGCTACTGTAACAAGTGGGCTGTGTGTGTGTGTGTGAGAGACCTTGGCCGTGCATATTTGAATGCTAGTGTAATGCACTGTACCCAGCACTGAGTGACTGTGAGTGTGTGTGCGGTTGTGTTTTTCTCCTTTGAGCTGAGCAAAGACAACAGGCCAGTTACTGTCGTGAAACAAGCCCAGGTGTGTGTGTGTGTGTGTGTGTGTGTGTGCCTGTTGACGTGAGCGGGGTTGACAGTTCAGTGGCAGGAGGGAGAAAGTGCTCCAACCAATCTCCATCAAGATCTTTCTGTCTTTGCTTCTTCTCCGAGCTTCTGCTGGATGAGGGATGTTGACCTAAGGATAGGAGGAATGAAGGGATGAGTAAAGGGAGAGAGGTGGAAGAGAAAATCCCCTCTTGGGTTAAAGATTCTTATTATTTTGTTCCCATTTTTTTTAGTGCTGTGGTGTTTTAAACCTTTCAAAGATCATGTGTAAGTCAAACAGATTGGACGGCATTTTGACGTTCATAAAACATGATTTCCTGTGTGAGAGAGGATTCACACACAGAGCTCTAGTTCCCACATTGGACAAATTGGAAGAAAAGAACATTTGACATGCCTAAAAAATGACTTAAATAATTATTTGATTATCAAAATAAAATAGTTAATCTGCAGTTGATTGACTAATCAGAATTAATGGACTAAGTATCAAACTTAGGCAGTAAATTCTACACTGTCTAAGCTCTAATTTCTAATATAATATTTTAAAGTATTTAATATTCAGTAACATTTGTTTATACCACTGTTATAACTTTGTCCAACTTTTTTCTTTCTTTATTAAACAAACATCAGCAGTGAGTCTGTGACAGTAAGTGGATCATATAAAAAAAAGGAGGAGGATAAAGCTCATGAAAGAAACTGGCATGGGATGAGATGATTTGAGAGCATGGCATCATGGGAAGGTGGAAGGACGGAGAAGGCCAGCTGGAGGGAGTGAGCTCTCTCTGTGTGTGTGTGTGTGTGTGTGTGTGTGTGTGTGTGTGTGTAGCTACAGTAGGCAGAGTGTATAAAGCCTTGTCATTAAAAGGTCACTCTGTTCCCTACACCTCATATAGAAGCCAGAGGACGGTTGTAGGCGTCCAAATGCCACAACACTCAGAGGAGCTGAGAGGCAGAGTTGAAGTGGCTTTCCTGCTCAATTAGACTTCAGTTCAAGGAAACAGACAGCAAAGCCTCCTCCTATTCCTCTAATGTACAGGAGTGCTAGTGATGTATGAAACACTCGGGTCGCCTGGTCGGTCTGATAGGCTGAATGCTGGCCAGATAAATAGAGTCATAAGAAATGGGGGGGGGTCCCAGGGGTCTTGAAAACTGAAATGTCTTTGTGGAAAAATAAAACGAGGCCATACCTGGCCATATGTCAGAGCATTTTTTTAATGAAAATATGTCCTTGAAAGTAACTCACACCCCGAGGAAAGCCCTTGAGGATTGCTTTTCAGTTTAGATTAAATCATGAGCTCGCTTTTGGGATGTCAATCAGTGTTTTGCGATCACAAAACAGGAATTCTGAGACATAAGAGTTTTTAGTATTTAATGTTTAAATGAGTGTGAGATACTCCGTGTTCCCACTTAGTTTCATTTCAGTAGCCATGATTCCTCCTCTCCCTTAGCTCTGCAAAGGTGTCGGAGCAGCGCTGGTCACGGCTTCTGCTGTTGCTATGACACTAAATAAAAGCTTTTTGAAGTGCAGCGCTCTACATTATAAAAGCTGAAATATTTTTAACTTTTATTACGTTTTTTAAAAAATTTTTTCCAGTGCTGAAAGCCCACTAAACTCTCAGCTCTCTGTGGGGCACTCGAAGCAGCAGCAGCAGCTCTTTCCTCGTCCATCTCCTCGCTGTCAGAGGAAAGAGCTGCTGCTGCTCTGGTTTGAACACAAAGCCAAAGAGCTTGTGGTTGATATGACTCCCAGAGTTAATATCAGGTGGGTGTTTTCCTAACCAGCAAGCTGTCAGGGCATTTAACTGGAGAAAGCAGCTCCTTTCAGCAGAGCAGATGGTCTGCACATACACAACCCAGTGTCCAGCTCAGAAGCAGCTAGTAAATCACTTTTAAGAGCTTCTGACCGACACCTCGCTTTTCTTTCTTTTCTCCTTTCTGCTCCACTCAACTCAACTGTGACAGCTGAAATGAAAAGCTCTTACTGTGTGACGGTTCAGACAGGCAGTTTGAAAACTTGTGGCTCATGGCCGACTGCTGAGTTCAGGGAAAACTGGTGTTGCATGAAAGAGCCAATGGCCTCACAGTCTGATGAGCATGTGTATGACCAGAAGATTACTGGACTTTCCAGGAAAATCTGTGTGAGTAAATGGAATGAGAAGTCAATCAGTCAGTACCTTCAGATGCTCCTGAACCAGGCTCTTATCTCCACACTGGAAAAATAACGACTGAATGACACACGGGCAGGGTAACTTAGGTAAAGGTAAACTCTAAATCATAAAAATGGATGCTTTAGATTTTGTTTTACAATGGTCAGATAACGGGCCGGCAGTAGCTCAGTGTCTAGGGACTTGGGTTGGGAACGGGAGGGTTGCCGGTTCAAATCCCACAGACCACAATATGGAGTGTGGACTGGTAACTGGAGAGGTGACAGTTTCACCTCCTGTGCACTGCTGAGGTGCCTTTGAGTAAGGCAACCTAACCCCGAGAAACTGCTCATGGGCGCCGCTAACGTGGCGAGCCCATCACTCCACCATCTCTCTCCCTGTTTGCATGTCCACGTGTGCATTTGTGTGTCTGTGTGTGTCTATCTCTTCTCTAATGGTTTTCTGTGTAAGTGTATAAACACATAAACAGCATAAACACACCTGTATCTGTATATGACTAAAAGTGACTCATAGGAAAATCTTTGTTGTCCTGACCACTAAAAGCAGTTCTGTTTGTTTTTTCATACCAACCAGTTCACTGAATGAATTCATTCGCGTACTATTTTATACATTTTTTACAACCAAACAAAGAGCCATTACAGCACAGATATTGCCACATTGC